ATTATAGATTAACCTTAAGATTTGTCTTATCATAGATTAAGATTCATCCATTATAGATTAACCTTAAGATTTGTCTTATCATAGATTAAGATTCATCCATTATAGATTAACCTTAAAATTTGTCTTATCATAGATTAAGATTCATCCATTATAGATTAACCTTAAGATATGTCTTATCATAGATTAAGATTCATCCATTGTAGATTAACCTTAAGATATGTCTTATCATAGATTAAGATTCATCCATTGTAGATTAACCTTAAGATTTGTCTTATCATAGATTAAGATTCATCCCATCATATGTTAAGTTTAAGATTCATCCCATTATATATTAAGTTTAAAATTCGTCCAATCACAAATTAAAATTTACTCAAACGTTATATAATTTGTCAATTTCTCTCTTTTGGATAATCTTTTAGTAGTACAGATAAAAAAATCAGTGAAAATGAAAATTAATGAAATTTCAGTTACATTTTATTTTCACCAGAAGAAAAGTGGCCCCTTTTTCTACAAAACCCAGTTTCCGCATGGTACGAACAAAGGATGGAATCAATGGGAGGTACGTCCTAATAATGGACGTATCAACAAATATGGCGGTAAATAGTATTTTACGTCTTTCTAGCTAAAATGTGGTTATTTAACGTTCGACTAAGTGTCGGAGTCGCAAGTCCGTGTTTAGAATATTTGTATTTTATTTCATTTTTTGTAAGTTAACAACAATTGCCAGAGATCTTTCTCGTTTACAAAGTAATCATTTTGTACAATTGTTTAAGGGAAAACCAATAAACCTGGTACACCGAGCGGCTACAAGATTTGTAGAAGATATGATTCCTGACGGTGCTCAACTGGGAGTCGTCTCGTTAAGTTCTAATGCGATCATTCTTCATAACCTCACTCGAGTCAACGGTACCACTCGTAAGAATCTGAAAAACAGTTTGCCATTGACCATAACACCAGGAACCGCAGCTATTGGCCGAGGACTAAATGAGGGATTAACGGTGAATGTTTAGTAAATTATGAACTGACTACAAAGGTTGGAACAAATCTAAAAATAACAAATACAGCAAGGACGACAATCCGCTATCAAATACCGACTCTGAACTAATATACCATAGAGCTAAAACCTACAAAAGTTAGCTGACTACCCTAGTTTTTAACAACATTTTCGGTCGTAATCCTAATAAAAAGGGAAAAGTATCGGTCGGCTTAGGAGACTTAAGTTAAGCCTAAATCCACACACACTAACTAAACAAGGTAAAATCCACTTCGAAACTGTTTTCTGATATTATAACCAGTTTAATTGAATTAGCCATATAAAAATGAATAGGTTATTATTTGTCAGAGTAATGGTTTTAATGTAAACTTTGTGAAAATTGAAAATTACATTGTTTATTGGAAGGTGATTTACGAATATTATAACAATCTTTAGAAACTTCAATAACCGGAAAAAAATTAAGGCTTTGTACTAGTTGATCGCTTAGGTTTACTCAAACCATGAACAGGTACAGATGAACCGATGTTTCAGACAACATTTCTAACTTATTGTTAAAACAACTTTGCATAATCTTCCAATCATGTGATAATTGTTAATTTGATAAGTATCTAAATAATTATCTAATTACACAAGCCTGCGATGGTTGTATTGTCTTATTATTTCTACAGTAATTCCTGTACGCTGAATCCGAAACAGATATTCATTTTTCTCCATCACGTACAGATTTTTTCTCAAAAAGTCATAACGCAATATATAAAAGAAAGACCACAACACATAGTTTTGAGACTAAACGACGTAGCTTTCACACAAAATCGGGATGAATGAGGATGCATATTCGTTTGACATCAATGTTCTTCCCTTTTCTTCAG